GCAAAACAGATTTCCATTTAAATGTAGAAGAATCAGTGAACTACTCTCTCACACACAAATATGATAGTAAAACACGTTTCTCAAACGTATAATCCCACATGGACAAAATAATTAGAAACAAGCTAAAATACCATATACAATACTAGGGACCAGAACTTGGAAGCTATATGTAATAGCAATTGTCAGAAGATATGAAAGGGTTAAAAACAATGTGAAGCCTGGTACTGGTGGCTCACGCCTGTAATACTAGCTACTCAGGAGGCTGAGATTCGAGGATTGAAGCCAGCTCCGGCAGAAAAGTCCCCATGAGACTCTTTACTCCAATTAAGCATTCAAAAACGAGAAGTGGCATTTTGGCTCAAAGTGGTAGAATGCTAATCTTGAGCACCAAGAGGCTCAGAGACAGCACCCAGGCTCTGAGTTCAAGCCCCAGGACTGGTAGAAAATAAAACAACAATGTGATTGCTTGGAAAGTCTTAAATGACCACAGACTGTATCATAAAGGTTTTGTTCCCTGGGGAAAGTCACCTAGAGATTTTCAGGTTTCAAGAGAAGGATTGAGGACATCATGGGGCTAAACACAGGAAGTCTGCTAATTGAACTGAGGGGATCCCAGACAGGAAATTCAGGCTCTGAGGTCACCATAGTTACCTTTGCCCTGAGGAGCATCTGGTCTAAACTGGATTCAAACCCATCACTTCTACTCAATTAGTTAAATGGTCATGGGCAAGTTATTAGCCTCTCCAAACCTTGGTTTCCTTATCTGTGAAATGATAATAATAGGTATCCAAGTCACTGTTATAGTTAAATTAGGTAATACAAGAAGGCACTTAGTGCACATTTGGCACATCGTACATCCTCAATAAATGGTAGCCAGCATTATCAGTGAAGAGGAAGTTCTGGAATTCTTTCTAAAGGACTCAAGATGAAACTCCCACAAGTATAAATTCCTATACATTGATTCCATTATTTTCTAACAGATTACTATAGAGGCATAACTTAAAACAGCTAGTAAGTCACAATTCAAAAACATGTTTGTGAACTCTGACCAATGTCCAGGAAACTATTGAAGAATAAGCTCTGTAGTCAGACAGACACGACCTTATTTCTGGTTCTCCAATTACTAAAGAAGTCTGGGCAAGTCCCACAAATGTTCCTCACCTGCTCAATGGAAATAACAACTATTGCATGATGGTTATAATGACTGACTACAATGCAGGTAAGGCCTAGCAGAGTACCCAGGACATAGTATGTCAACAAACAGAAGCTGTTTTCATCACCATCATCATCATCACCACCATCATCATCATCATCATCATCATCATCATCATCATCATCATCATCATCATCATCATCATCATCATCATCATCGTTGGGTAAAAGATTCATTAAGCAATGACAATTGAAAATCTGGCCAATTTTGGAATAAGTATATTCAGGACTACTTTTACTATTCTTCAAATATCACTGGAGTGGGTGAGTTGTTTGATTGTTATCTAGCCACTGATTCCATAGACTTCTAAATCAACTTGGAGAGGAACACAAGGAACTTTCCATGTGGTAAACTACACTTCTCTTGCTGTCTAGGACATCTTTAGGAATTGGCAATGTATGTAATACTCAGTATTTTAGAGAGCAGAATTTTTAACCTAATTATTCACTTCTTTCTCTGTAAAGTTGAGTCTGAATAATTAGAACACTACTTTTGTGACATGGATATGAGCACTCACCTTTGTTGCTTAGAATCTGAACCTGGACTTACTCCGCAAGTAGGGAAAGCATAAAACAAGAATAGGGTGATTAGTATTTTACATTTGATAATCAATGGAGATATAGAAGCAACCTTAATATAAATTCTCAAAACATACTGGAAGAGATTCTACTTTCTTTCAGTATTTTCATAGGATATTTTATTGACTTTCTCAATGAATCTATTTTAAATGCTTACATCATATAAAAATCCACATTGTAGCCATAGATTCTTATATTCAGTTACCTTAATTGAGCCAATTAACAAAACAAAATACACATTCAAATGAAACATGTATCTAAACCAATTAGGAATAATTAAAATTATAGATCAGGTTTTCTTTCACTGATCACAAATTATTGTAATGCTTTTGTGATGCTCATTTCCGGGCTCACTTTGGTGTGTTTATTAAAGCATGGTATTGTCAGATCACAGGGAGTATCTCATTTTCATTTTCATATCTCCAATTCTAAAGGGGATTAAATTATCCAATTAAGCTGTTAATTAAAAAGACTCCTACAGAATAAACTGCAGGCTACCAATGCCATTTCAATTTTCATTGTGCTGTGCTCAAAAGCAATTTTCTAAATTCCGAAGAGCTCAAAGTTACTACCCTCGATTTCACTTTAGAAAAAGGTAGCTAGAAATGCTAGCTGAAGGTCCAACCCATTTCTTCTCTCTGAGAACATGGCAGTACTATGTGACCTAGTCTTCCCTGTGGTTAGATTTGGCCATATGACTGAGTTCTAGCCAATGGATTAAAACAGGAGTAAATGTAGACTGCTCCCAGGCCATTTCTCATTCATCAGTTAATTGTTGATGAGTATGTATTCAAAGGTGTGTTGAAAATGGTAAAATGCCAATATGGAAGGAACCTGGGTCCCCAAATCACCAGGAAGAGGGAAGTACACTGATCACTAATACCCATTAAGTATGCAATGAGAAAACTTAAAACTTAAATTGCTCTAACCCAATGATAGTGTCTGTTTCTAGTATGGCTTTACTAAAGAAATCAACTTGTATATACACTTTGCTAATTTGGGGAGGGGAAGGGAAAAAACAAAATGCTTAAATAGGGATACAGGTTGACCCATTCTAACAATGAGATACACAAGACACCATGTTGAAAAACAAACTTTACAATTTAGGCTAGGCAGGGTGGAGGGAGCGTACTTGCGGAGGTGGGAGGGGAGGGATGGTAGGGGAAAAAAAGAGGAGGAGGTAACAATGCTTGATAGGAAATGGACTCATTACCTTACTCATGTAACTGTAACCCCTCTGTACAGTATTTTTACAATAAAAATCGTATAAAAACATTACAAAAAATTAAAGACATTAGTTTAAATCTAAACTTAAAAAAAAAAGAAATCAAGTGAGTCCCCCTATGGTATACCCCTGTTGTCACTGTATTTGATGTTGGTGCCCTGGTATTGTATATACATTTATCTGAATTAGGGAAGGGAAGGCAAACAACAGAATGGTGAGACAAAGGACAAGGGGGAACCAATGCAACAGTGATACTCACAAGACAATATGTTAGACATGATCTGTACAACTTGAGGGGAGGGAAAGGAGGAGAAAAATGAGGGAAGGGGTAACAAGTTTGACAAGAAATGTACTCATTACCTTACTTATGTAACTGTAAACCCTCTGTACAGCACCTTGACAATAAAAATTTTTTAAAAAAAGAAAGAAATCAAGTGAACTTTAGGGACATGTAAATAACTTGAAGCTAATTGGAAACATTAGTGTTCTTCAAATTTTTATTAGATCTGCTTAGATATGTACTTGAAAATCTAAACAACCTCAATACCTCTTGGGTCTCATAAAATCTAAATCACATAGACAATAGAAAGATTCTGAAATTCTTGTCTCCATTCTCCTACATTCTATGCTTCCTATCCATATCTCAGAGATCATTCATAAACTCTCATTTTATTCATTTTTCTTTCTGCCACTACTGTACACACACACATACACACACACACACACAAATTCTTATTTCATGAATAAGCTTAGGAACTAAAAATGCAGAAACTAAACTGTTCAAGAGGATCATCACCAGGTTATACTCAACAACTCATTCATTACCCACTAGCTCTGAATCATCTGATGTCTATTTCTTATGATGCTCTGATCTTAAACAATGGGATGGCCTAAGACTCTGAAAATTAGTACTTTTCCAGATCTTAGACTATATCAGTGCCAGAAAGCATTTGAAATAATCAAGAGAGGATTTTTCTTGTACTTCCTGTCTAACCGCAACAAGCTCCATAGAGAACTTAGGAATTCCATAGTATGCCTATACATTTGGGTAGACTCAATCAGGGTGGTCAAGCTCTGAGAATTCTGTGCCACTCAATCATTGTCACCAGGCAATTCCAGGTCTCTGAAAGTACATTGGGCAAAGATATTCTATTAACATATGTGTAGCTACCCTAGAGAGCCATAGCCATTCAAAAACAAAAGCACACTGAAAATGAATTAGGGTACCTAGTCAAAGGAATTTACTGGAATCTTAGTTCAATAATTCTTTCCCAGTGCTCCAAACTGCTCCCCAATACACTTATACACTAATATGCATATGTATCACCACATATTCCTCTGCACCACTCAGCACTACAATTATACCCATCTACATATTCATCTCCCATGTTCAACTAGAGTGTTTGTTGAAGCCAGAGACTTTATATTACCCACCTTTTGTGGCACAAAATCATTGTTGCAAAAAAAGACACTGTTGAATGACTGTATAGTTAAAAGAATGGTGAGGGCACAGAGAGAATTGTTTGGGCTTTGAGAGCAACGATCATTGCCACTTCTGTATCGGTCATAGTATGGTAGAGAATTTTCTCAAAGGCATATTTTTTTCCTGAGTAGGAATATTGTTGCAAAGGCAATAAACCACATCTGTTGTCTTATGTTCTGGAAGAAAATAAAATGACCACCTTGTAAACATTGCATTGGCTATGGGGAAAGTTACTGCATCCAGTCATTTATTTATCACAGAGTAGCTGAGTAACCATTACATTGAAATCACTAAACCATCTATGTTTAGGTGGATAATATAAACTAGCCATCAAGAAAGCTAGTCTACTACAGTGTTTTGTATGTGTAAATTTTGGGCAAATATTTTCCAAACTGGAGCAGAATGACAATAGATGCAAGAGATTTTAATCATTGTTCAATAAGGAAGAGACAGAAATTCTTCAATCCAACTTTTATTGTCCTTAAAATCATTGCTCTCATTTCACAAATAGGGAGAGAAAACACAACCAAACTAGTTTCATAACAATGACCATTTAGATTTTAAAAAGAATACATTATACAATAGTATCTTTTATCAAACCAGTGGGGCACAGCCACTGGTGAAGACAATGTTGTTGGATGCAACAATCGCATATTCTCCCATAATTCAAGGTGCAACTGAGACAATGTTTAAAATATCAAGTAAGATAGCTAACAAATGCCAAGTGATTATAAAATACTGAGTAAATATACTAAGAAATAGGATAACCTAAGGAATAAAGGTTAATCTGAAGGTCAGTAGCCCAAAGCACAGAGACTCTGTCTATCCTGACTCTGAGATACTTGACAAGCAATTTTCAAGCCTATCCATTTCTCTGGCATGAGCATAACCTGTCTGGCAAGTCATAGTTCCTAGCTCCTTCTTAGTGATGCTCCAGGGCTAAATAAGATAAAATTTATGTGCTATGCTTTAAGCTCCATTGAGGTAAGGCACTAAATAAACCTCAGGGTAATTTACGAATCCTGAGCTTACATTAGTCATGTCCCAGTCTATCTCATAAAAAAAGGGGGAAAAATGGAAATTGGAGGCCAGTGCTGAGCACTTGGCACAAGAACTCAGCAAACTTTGGGCAACGGTGATAAGGCTGAAAAATATTGTTCTATATACACAAAAACCTTGACTACCCAAGAGAATTTCACACACACACACACACACACACACACACACACACACACACACACACTCACCTCTTTTCAATGCTCAGACAATAGTTGACTGGCAGAACAGCTGTATGAGTCAGAGAAGTATGTTATTGCAGCCTTAATCTGAGACCCAATATTTAATTTCCTTTTAATTTACCATAATTATTTTTGTGGAAACTTTATGGCACTCCTCCACTAGATATGCTGAGGGAGCATGGTCAAAAACCTGTCTTCTTTTCAGAGCCGTAGGCCAGCTTTTCTCTATTTTTTTCATTCTCTTCCAGTTGCCTCTGATCTTCCTCCCTCTACCACTTAATGTCTCTCTCTCATTTTATTTTTAGCAATCTGTTTTGAAGAAAATGACAAGATTGTAATGTGAAGAGTTAAACAGAAACATTTGGAAATCTCATCCTTCTAGAAATGTGTTCTAGCTCATAGGGCTGAGTTTGTATTGATACTTTGGGTTTCAAATAATGGCCATCCTAACTGCAACTTTCAATACAACTAGATTACATCAAATAACGTTACTCAAGGCAAGGTAGCCCAGCTCTCTAGAAATTGTGAGAACCCCAGCTGATCACCAACCACTTTTCCTGACTCAACAATCCAATTTCCAAAAAGATAATTGTATGCTTTTATCAAACACTTTCTCTGTCCTGCAGGAATGTGTTTATTTAGAACTTATAAAAGGAAATCTTGAAGAAAATGCAATTCATGTAAGTATGACAAACCTCAACTCCTTTTAAGTGGGCCAAGTGCAGGAATAAAACAAGGATTATCTTGTAGGTCTAAAACAAATCTGAATGCTTACTCTAGAGAAATGGCACATACATTTCTGGCACCACTGACATAATACTGCTTGTGTTTCAGATACAAACAAAGGTCACGTTAAGCCATGGTTAAGAGGAAGAAAAGGTAGCTGCCCTTCAGAAGTGTATCCATTCAGAGAGGAGGAAGTCAAGGGGAAAATCACTCTCCTGACTAATGCAGTGTAATTGTTTTCCTCATGATGGTGTCCCGCCATTCTTCTCCCTTCAGAAGTTCCCATGGTTACAGAAGGACAAGGCACGCACTTACATTTCCTCCAAAAGGATGACAAGTCACAATGATGCAAAATGACTTCCTGTGGTTAGTCTGAATTTGGCATTTTGCTTTAAAGATTTTTCTATTGGCCCACTTAACCCAGCACCTCCTGAGCAATGACTAATGTGATGAAGGTGGAAGGATGCCTGTATTAAAAAGCAAGAAATACTAGGTAACCACTTTAATACCATTACCATTTTGGACAAGAAAGAGAGAGACATTTACTTAAAAGGATAATATTCTGAGGATCAAAAACCTAATACTGCTCTTTCTCAAGTCTATTTAGAAAACCTGAAGAGTAAAAATGATGTGTTTTAGTTCTGTACATTTTAAGTTGCATCTATCTTTAAATATCTTCAATCAAGAAATTGTTAAGTGAGAGAAGGGGTAACAGTGTTTAAAAGGAAATGCACTCATTACCTTACTTATGGAACCATACCTCCCTGTTCATCATCTTTACAATAAGTATTTTTTAAAAGGAAATTGTTGAAAAGTCTTTCTTTTAATGAGAGGTAACAATAAGCTATAAAGGAAGGTCATTCTGCTTGGTCCTCAATGTCTTGTTTATCCCTCTGTGCTAAAGGAAAACAAAAGTCATGTGTTCCTTCTGCAGAACTGGAAACCCCTCCCTCTCACTGCGGACTTATTTCTGAGCTAAGAGATGCACACAGGTGAGGATAATGAAATAACCATAAATGGGGCCTAAGAACTGTGCCCAGCAGATGGACGATCATTGAGAGGCATGCAGGCTCAGTAAGATTTGGGAGATATTCAATTCCTAGGTTTTCCACTGCTGTATGAGTAGGAGTTTTTAAGACTTTTGCAACTACCTAGTAGACTTTCTGACATCTTTGTTCATGCTGGCCTAAAGAGGCTACTCAGCAATATCAGGTGTTAGCTGTGAAGTATGATTTCATTTCAATAGACTACAAAACTGAAGGCATTAACTTCATTAAAAACTATAAAATGGAAATACAACCTATTTCTCATGGAACTACCTTAGCGTTAAATATCAGGGAATGTCCTCTACAAACTCTGGCACTGCATTCCAAGGAATTGCAAGGCCTTGAAGGCATCCGTACACACATCTTCTTCATTGTAATAGACTGCTCCTTTTTTTATGGGTACATTTGACTTAAGCTCCCCACAAAGCTATAGAATGAGATGGCAGGTACCACTCAGCTGTGGCTAACACACGACAATGGGCAATAGCAATATGAGCAGAGAGTGTTTTTTCTTTTGACAAAAGTAGCCTAGGGATTTGCTTTTGTTGGTTTGGTTTTTGTTTTTAAAGAAACATCCTTGGTTCATATTTTATATTCCTTCCCTGTTTTAAGCTTTATGACCCCGAACAGATAGTTTAGAATGGGGCAGGTCATCTCCTCAAATAACAAAAACATATTAAAAATAAAAAACCCCTCAGGGGAATGTAGGCCTAAAGCAGTAGGCGATGAGTGTTTAGTGCCACTTCTGTTGACACTGGGCTGCTCTCTCTGGACAGCAGAAAGCAGCACTCCAACTACCAGAGTCGGCAAGATTCCATGCCTCTGTTCATTGTGGAATTAGGTGGACAGTTAAAAGCTTTCTGGAATTCTTCAAAGTTACTAACAGCACCATTGACCCTGGGAGGAAAAAAAAAGATACAATAAAGTACATATCAATGAATTCTTAACAGATGAACAGATTCTGGATGAAATAGTTAAACAGTATGTGGTTTGAATTGCGTTTCACTCATTCAATCCTTTTACAAAAGAGACAAATAAAGCCTAAAATCAGTAAGTAAACTTCCCAAGAAATTAATAGCACTGAGACTAGAACCACTATCTCCTCAATGCCAGGCAATCATCCTAATTACTTTTCTTACATTCTTCAGATTCCTATAAAACTGTATCATGTCCAATACTTAGTTTTCCTAATTTAAAAAATTATTTTTGCTGCCCACTAGTGACTCATACCTGTAATCCTAGCAACTCAAGAAGCTGAGATCTAAGGATCACAGTTGAAGCCTTCCCAGGCAAAAAAGCACATGAGAATTTTATCACCAATTAAGCATCAAAAATGCCAGAAGTAGAACTGTGGCTCAAGTAATAGAACTCTAGCTTTGAGCAAAAAAAAAAAAAAAAAAAGTTCAGGGATAGTGCCTAAGCCCTGAGTTTGAGGCCCAGGACTAGCACAAAAATATTGCTTATCATGGAAAGTATTACTGCCATAAGGTGTGTAAGTATTAAATGTACACACTGCTAATTTTTCCATAGGTAGCCATGTTAGTACTACTCAGATCAAGGCACAAGCATATCCATTCTGAAGGCTTACTTATATCCCTTACCAAGAGTATCTCCAAAAATAATTACTGTTATAATCTCTATCTCCATAGTTCTGACTGCTTTTGAACTTCCTATGAACTCAATCCACAGTATGCAGTGTTTTTGTCTTTGATTTTTTTTACTCCCTATAATGCCTCTAAGAGTCTTTCATGTTCCTGCATTTCTATCATTGAAGAATTCATTTAGTCTATAAAACACTTTGTCTACATTCCTATTTGGTCTGGAGGCTCACATTTACCTAGAATTTAGTGTGTGAAACAATCAAATGATGAATAATAATAAATAGTTGGAGTTGTTATAGATGAATAATTTTTCACTGGATTTTAGCTCCAGAATCTTGTTTTCTTGAAAGTTCCTGACTACAGTAAAGACTATGAATCCCTTACCCAGCATTTTGATTGCATAATTGCATTATATTATTTGCCCTGCACTCAAAATCTATAGTTACTACAGAAATCAGTAATATACGAGGCAAAAAAATACCTACCTACTCATCTATTTCTTACTCAACTACACAGTCAAAGGGTTGACTAGAAATTCAGCACTCCCAGTCACTTTTTCTTCCCTAAGGGCATCAGAATGAATGTATAGCACATATTCAACAAAACTTCATAACCTCTTGTGCTTTAGCTGGGAGATATATATATATATATGGAGAGCTCAGAGTGTAATTCACCTTAGGCAACTGCTAAAGATAGAATATAGCTGATAATTAGTAAGCATATTCTGCAAATCACCAGCTACCATCCAACATTATAAGCAACTAGTTAGTAAAAAGAATTTTGTTTCTAAAGCTTATCCATGGAGTAATTAATATACTGTGTAGTTTCGTCTGTGCTATTTGTCAGTGGGTGCACATTTTAGTACATTAGAAACTGTCGGCCTTCATGAGGGTTTAGCACAGTGGGGGAGACTTTCCAACACAGTGATTAGATTTTTATGCTACTGGGTAATTTATAGACAATTTTGAAGCATAGAAAAAGCTGAAGGAATAAGACTTAAATATAGAAGAAATTTTACATGACTTTCTTCAGTTTGCTAATGGATTCATTTAAATATGAAATGTAAAGATACCTAGGTATATGTTCTAAGCAAAGAGTGAATAACTCTAAGTTATTATGACCCATTGAGTTTCTAATTATGATTATCTGCTCTCTACTATAAAAAAATCTCAAGGTGTAGAACTTAGCACAGAGTAAGTAATATTAACCATAATTTTGTTTTCACTTAACACTTCATACATTCTGACAATTAAGGTTGCAATTCATAATCCATTCCCCTTCATCTGTAGGCAACTGTTTCACATTATGATACAAGATGAGAACCAAAAATGCAGTATCCCTGAGTCTAGTTATGAATTATAACCGTTAAATATCCACATATATCTCCCTTTGTGCTCAGAACTATTCAGAAAGAGGGCACTCATGCATAGGTGTTGGTTGAGTGTGTGAAAAAGCAAGAAGTCCTAAATAGAATATTCTTTAACAAGACATAAACCAGAGCTCTTAGTGTTTTAAGGTAGATTGTATCACCCCCCCCCCCCACACACACACACACATACACACACTGGTTCTTGCTTGGCATTTGTGCTCAAGGCTGGTGCTCTACCACTTGAGCCACAGTTCCATTCTTGCTTTTGGTGGTTGATTGGAGATGAGAAGCTTTCCCTGTCTGGGCTGGCTCCAAACCATGATCCTCAGATCTCATCCTTCTGAGTAGCTAGGGTTACAAGCATGAGCCACAAGCATCCAGCTAATATCTTTCCCAGCCAAACTAAAACTAAAACAATGATATGGATTCCAATTATATTGGAAACTTATGATCTTGAATGCTACACTAAATTCAAGATGTGTACAAATGGTTCACACATGGTTACAGAAATTTAGTTCAAAAAGCACTGAGTAGACCAGCTTATTATTTTTTGGGGGGTGGTCCGGTCGTGGGGCCTGAACTGTGGGCTTGGGCGCTGTCCCTCAGCTCTTCAGCTCAAGGCTAGCGCTCTACCACTTGAGCCACAGTGCCACTGCCGGCTTTTTTCTTTTTGCTTATGTGGTGCTGAGGAATCGAACCCAGGGCCTCATGCATGCAAGGCAAGCGCTCTACCACTGAGCCACCTTCCCAGCCCCTAGATTAGCTTATTATTAATGAAAGAAAAGCTTACTATCTGTTTGGCTTGATTTTGTCATCTATAAGATGGACATGGTGGCTTTTGTTGACCTCACATATACTAGAATAGCTAGGGATGGGAAGATTGGGGCAAAGCACAGTTCAAAACTAGTGTCACCATTTGCCTACTTACCTAAATTGAGGAGGACTGTGAGCACCAATTTGAACCTGTTCTCGGGCAGCTTCTGGCCTGTAGGAATTGCACCTTACCTAGAAGAAAAAGGCATCTCAATAAATACGCTTCCATCCCAAGATAGTTTAGTTTTTACTTTCTTAATTATTCCAAGTGAGACTGAAGAATAATTTTTAAGATCAAAGGATGACAAGATGTTTTAGAAGATCAAGTAAAACCTCCGTTAGTAGTAACAATTATTATCCTAATCCCTAGAGCATAAGGTTCCAGCAATGTGAAAAATTCCATCAATTGAGCAAATTAGGAAGGTTTCCAGACAAGTGGAAAGAGAGGATAGTGTCAGATCTTTAAAATCCTAAGCAAAATACCAAAGCATTTGAATTATATTTAAACTCTGTTCTTCAACAAGAAAATAAAAGCCGTATTTTTCAATCATTTATCTGACAGAGGTATTTAAGAGGAAGAAGAAATTAGAGATATTGTAGAAGATAATTTCTCAATGATTAATGTCCACTAAATAAGTAGAAACAGAAATGGAAAGAACTAAAAGCATGAGAATACCCTCTAAAAAGAGAAAATGTCAGATCACAGAAAGTAACAGTGATATAGAAAACATGGTAAGTATTATGATGCCTGTGCTTCTGATAAACTATCAGTGATAGAGCTTCTGACTATAATTTTGAAGATAATTTTTATAATGTGATTTTTGAATCTCCTCAGAAGCTAATATGAACTTGATTTTACCTCATTTCTTCTTGTTATTTTTCTCATATACTTACATAGTTTTATAGTATTTTTAATTTTATGTATAATTTAAGAGCTTTCTGAAAACATGTTATGGTTTTTATTGGTTTTATAGTATTTTCCTAGGAAGTAAACAACTTTGCTACCTATAAGCAGACTTACTCTCTCATGTGTAAAAGATTAAAAGTCTTTTCAATATGTCAATGAGCGTTAATTTTTCTCATTCATGATAAAGAAGTAGCATTCCACATTTTTCTCTAAGTCTTTCTCTAAATCTGTCTAGTTAAATCAGATAAGGCTTGGTATCATGTTTGAAGGTATTTTTAAATTATACTTATGACATCAATATCAACTAGATTGTTTTATCAGCAAAGAGATATTATGGACTAGGATGTAAATAGTAAGAATGTATGGACCCTGGCTCTTTGTCCTCTACATCACAGTTTAGCAACTTTCTCCTGTAAAGAGACAGAGGTAAATATTTTAGGCTTTGAAAATCATCAAGTTCATATTTCAAATACTCAGTTCTGCCACTGCAACACAAAGCCACCCACTGATAAATAAATAAAAGACAATAGTTGTTTTCCAATAAAACAATATTTGTAATGTATTTTGGAAAATAGGCAATAGACCAGACTTGACCCCAAATCTAGAAAATTTCATTTTTGAGTGTGTATTTTAATACCTAACCTAAAAAGGAACAACCCAAAAGGAAGACTCCTTAGATAAATTGTGTTAGTCTTATCCTTTTGATGCACTTGATCTAAAAATATCAAATGCCTTTTATGTATCCAGCATCTTTGCTAAGTATTATGGAAATACATAAAAAAGTAGGGTAAAAACAAAGGAGGGGGTAACAATGCTTGAGAGGAAATGTACTCATTACCCTACTCATGTAACAGTAACCTCTCTGTACAGTATCTTTATAATAAAAAATATATTGAAATAAAAAAGTGTAAGGAACCAGATTAGCTGTGGAGATAAAACGGAGTCTTGAGCATATTGAAAGCAAATATTCCATAACATGGCAATATAAAACAAAATAATGAGGACTGGAGTTCTTAGGGAAGCGTTTGTTTACTATATGGAGGAAGCAAAACTCAACATGGATTCTGAAGGATAAACTTAGATCAAATAATTTGTGGGGGAGAGAACAGGAAAGGGACCACATTAAGAATCAGAAGCAGGGCCATGAAGACAGTCATGAGAATAAGTTGGTGGAGTGAAGGTGAGTAAAGCTGACTGGTGAAGAATTTCTTTTCCCACCCAATGAAATTCAAAGAGATTAGACCGATTTGCAGCAAGAACTTTGTTTTATTTTTATTATCCTTAAGTAGTTATACAAAGGGGTTTCAGCTGACCATGTCAGTTTGTAAGTAGAATGTATCTCGATCGGTATCACCCTTTTCATCATGTAATGGAGAAGTTGAAAGACAGATGGAGATACTTGGCCTCAATGTGGTAAGCATTTGGGAACCTTGTAATATACCAGAAACAAAGTTTAATAAAAGGCTACTTCAGTGCAATATAAAACAGTGATAGAAGATGCTAAAGTGAAGAAAATATGTCATAAGGCTGTTGGGATAATCCAGAGTACATGTTATGGTTTGGCTTCCAATAGTGACATAGGGTAACAAGGATGCTTTGGGCTTGAATTTTCACATCTCCCAAATGTATATATTAAAACCTGAACCCTAGTGTGTGGTGGAAGGAGATGGTACCTTCAGGAAGTACTAGGTTATGAGAGTGATGCCTTCACAAAAGGGATTAGTGCATTCATTAGGAGAAAAAAAAAGGGATAACTAGCTCTCTCCACCACGTGAGGAAATAGCAAGAAGTCAGCAATCTGTAACCCAGACCCAACTGGGTTGTTGTTGTTTATAAGCCTCCTAGTCTATAGTACTATTATAAATAACCTGAACTGCCTACATAAGCAAAAAGAAAAAAACCGGAAGTGGCTCTGTGGCTCAAGTGGTAGAGCGCTAGCCTTGAACTGAAGAGCTGAGGGACAGCACCCAGGCCCAGAGTTCAGACCCCGTGACCGGACCCCCCAAAAAAACGAAAGAAAGAAAGGAAGAAAAGATCTTGAAGGGAGGGAGGAGGGATCAAGGAATGCAATCCTGCTATTCAGTCTATACTATGTGGGAAATGACCTATGTAACTTATGGGCAGAGATGGGAGGGGAAAAGTGGGGAAAGTAGTAAAGAAAGGAATGACATTATCCAAAAAAGAAATGTACTTATTACCTAACTTAGGAAATGGTAACCTCTCCATGCAATAGCTTAATAATAATAAAAGTATTTTAAAAAAAAAAAAATCAAGGATCTCATCTCCAAGTCCTCCAGTACAAACAGAGACAACTGGAGAAAGCTTGGGGAATGAATGAAAAGATTTGAGCAAGCATATATATACATCTTTGCCACCATAAGGCCATAAATCAGAACCTGTAATCAATGCATTGCATCAATGCATTGCCAACTTCTTTGAAAATGTTGCCTATGCATTTGTGACATAAATCAGAGACTCATACTCAGAATAGGGCCTTATTTAGTGTGCATCTTCCTTTCAATTTCTATTCTAAGAACCTATTAAACTCACAAAAGAATGGACTGATGCTCCTTTGCCTTTATTATTGTTTTTTTTCCTGCCCTAATACTCTTTACATATTGATCTAACAGTTGGGAAAACAACTCTGAGGGCCCACCATAGTGACAGAATAAAGTCAGAAAGTGAGGAGGAGAAGCAAAACATAGGAAAGCAAAGAACAAGTTACTGGAAATGGTTAGAGATACTATTGAATACATTAAGAAGTCAAGAGATATTGAAGAACTATCAAGTGAGTTGCCATAGGGACAGTAACCCACTTGATTTAAAATACCAATAAAACTTGATTCAATCAGTTAATTATTTATGTCCCACGGAGCATTAAGATGCTAGTATTTATCCTGAAAATAATTGGCAAGATCAAATTTTAACTAAAATCAAAGTCATACCATTAAACTTTTATTCCAATCTTTTCATTAAAGACACAAGCTAAAGTATCACATTTCATCTTAGACGCTCTTTGTTTAGTTTACTGAGTACCACATTTCATCTTGGACGCTCTGTTAGTTTACTCACATGAGCGTAACTCAGGAAGAAGAGTTGGTTGTTGGTAAATGTGATGCCTGGAAGTAGAGGTTCCTCGACACCCTGCCTTTTGTCATTTATCCACTTCCTGTAAGCCTAAGGGGAGAAGCAGACTAGATGAGCATCTTCCATGATCGTTTTTTCCTCTTTTCTCATCCAACAACAGAGATATCAAACACATAATCCTGCTGTGTGCAAAATACATTGTGCCAAGTTTTCTCTCAAGAAAACAAACACCTGGAAATGCAAATCAATGTCCTTTCACTGAACAGAAAAGCAGGTGCACCTGCAAGATACTACGTAGATACCGAAGCTTCTGGGCCAAAGTCTTCAGATGTCAAAGAGCTCTTCTAAACAACAACCAAAAAAAACCCTGTTCATCTTATTTCAACATTAGACAAAGAAATTTAGCATTGTGGCAAGGCCCTTGTGGCAATAAGTTTGGTGGTCAACATATTATCAAGTTTGCCAACTAACAGGAAATCCCATGATCTGTTATTAAAGCATCATTTTATAAAATTAAGTATAATTTAAATAGAATACAGGAAAGATAAAACCTTGAAGCAACAGCCTGATCTGTAAACTTTATGAAAATCTTTTCATATATCCTTTTTCTTCTTATTTAGCCATAGACCAACAGCTGATGAAAACATCATTATGTACTCCTAGCTGGCGCAATATATAACAACTACTAGCCTCTGGCCATAACTTAGAAGTGTAGTATTTTAAGAGAATATTGTAAAGAATGATATTGAAAGAGTTGTAGTCAAGTAAAACTCATATTAATCTAGCCCCAAGGCAAGTTCTGTACCATACTTTAATATGAATTTGTCCTTTAAATATATGATTCTTGATAACAAATTTTATTTTATTTTTTAGGTAGAATGTATAACCTGAAAAGAAAAAAAAGAAAAATGCAATTCTATGTATCTAATAGAGTATAATAAAGTCACATGAAAAATACAATTTGATTCGCACAGATTCCAGAATACCCAGCTCCTTAAGAACATGTCTATGATGTAAACTGAAGTATAAAGAATTTTATAGCTTAATTTTTTTAATCCTGTAAATGGAGCCATACATACCCTAAAAGCTTCTCTCAGACCACCATTATCAGCAATATTTTCTCCCAGGGTCCTTTTCCCCTTTACCTAACAAAAAGAAAAAAATAGAAGAAAAAAATAGAAGAGAGTTTCAGGGTCAACTATCATTTGGAAAGAGGTATAAATATTGTAGCAAGAAAGGTGTCATATTTTAAAGAGAAGATTATACTCAATACATCAGAGGTAGTCATAACATCTTTCGAGATGGCAAACTAACTCTAGCAAGATGCTCCTGAATATAATAATTACTGATTTCCTTTTGATTCATCTCTTTATCCTCACCAATTTAAGCCAGCTCTGATCAAATATTCTCAGAAATTTTGGTTTAGTGGGAAAAATATAGTAATAGCAATTTATGGATTACTTTCTCTGATTAACTCACATAATTTGAGTATCCTTCTCATTGTGCCTGTGTTTCCCAAAATTTGCCCTCCACACAGGAACAGGAGTTCAAGATCAACCATTATCATTTTACCTTCAACAATTTCCATGAAAAATGTTCTTGGGGAACAAAAATCCAGTAGAAGTGGGACAGACCACAAGGTCAACACTTGCAATATGTGTAATACCCAGCCAAGCATGATGAAGAAACTCTTCTCAACTGTTGCTTAAAATGTTAAATGAGCTAGGATGAAAACATTCTAAATTTATACAGCCCACAAGCTGAAGCTGAGCTGTCAACTCGTTTTTTTGTATATGATTCAAACTATGCCTAGATTTGAATTTTTTCAATTGCTGTGGGGAGAGAGTTGAAAGGACAATATCTTGTGCCACACGGAAATTATATGAAATTCTAACTACACTATGTATAAATCAAGCTTTATTGAAACAATACCTAAACCCATTCATATATACACTGTGTTTGTTCTCTTGCTACAATAGGGGAGGAGTTTACAACTGTGACAGAGACCACACAACCCGCAGAGCATAAAATATTCATTATCTTGTCTATAATAGGCAGTATAATGGCCTCCAAAAGTGATCTACTTTCAAGTCCCTAGACCTGGGAATATGTTACTCTACAATGCCAAAGGGGACGTTTTTTTTTCCAGTCATGGGTCTTGAACTCAGGGCCTGGTCGCTGTCCCCTGAGCTCTTTTTTGATCAAGGCTAGTGATCTACCAATTTGAACCACAGCTCCACTACCAGGTTTTTTGAGTGGCTAATTGGAGGAGGAGTCTCACAGGGACTTTTCTGTCAGGACTGGCTTCGAACTGGGATCCTCATATCCCAGCCCTCCTGAGTAGTTAGGTTTACAGGTGTGAGTCACCAGCACCTGGCAACAAAGGAGACTTTTACAAACTGATATGTCAAGGATCTTAAGATGGGGACATTATCCTGGGCTATCTACATAGTCCCACTATAATTATAAGTGTCTTTATAGGAAGAAAAATGAGGCGAGAGAGTGTCAAAAGAATACAATGTGGCACCCACTGGGCATTACTGGATTTGATGGAGCTATTAGTCAAGGAATGCAAGCAGCCTGTAAAAATTAGAAAATGCAAGGATCAGATTCACTCCGAGTGTCTCTAGAAAGGAACACAGACTAGTTGATACTACATGTTAGGGCAGCGACACATGTGTCACCCTTCTGGCATACAGAATTGTGTAATAGTAAGTTTATGTTGTTTTAAGCCACGAAGTTTTTAGTAACTTGTTACAACAGCCCCAGAAAACTAGCACACCATACTATAAATGTTGAAGCCAGGATTCTACCAACTCTTTAGTTTTAAGATAGCCAATTTGCCGTGGTATCAAACAACACGAATAAAAATGGATCTTTAGTAAACATTATTCACTACAGTCACGCAGGAACCCTGTTCAATTTAGTCTCTAAGAATTACCACTCGATTTACATGGTTCTTTCTTTTCTGTAATCCTATCAAGATAAGAACTATTATTACCACCCTTGTTTAACAAATGAGGATCTGAAGCACAGAGTGTGTAGCAGATGTTGTTGAAACCCCATAGGACATCTCCTTTTCTACTGGGACTGTATGCCCATTCCTGTCGCTACCAATAGCTTGGGAAGATGAATCTAGAGATTGCTAGGAGCTCATACTCCATCTTCCAGTGGCATATGAAACATGTGGAACAATCTAGCCCCTTGCCATTGAACTAAACAACTTCTGTGGTACAATTCATGCTCCAGAACCTTCTGTGGGATCAGGATAGGAATACATTTTCCCTGAAACCACCATGTTTTTCTCTGTTTCTTACAGGTTTTTCAGAAAACTGCTTCTCAATAAATCATTGACCAAAGGAACCCCTTCTGGAACTTGGCTTCTACTGAACCTGATGTAAGGCAGTCATTAAATAAACTGATCACATTTATCAGGGATTTAAATCTAAGCAGTCCACTGTCTTCAGACCCTTTGTTCTCTAAGATATACCTTCTCAAGTCCTCTTGGCTATGACATTGATGTTTATATCCACTTACACATGAATCTCTCATTTTTCACTCTTAATTTTATATTGAAATTAGAGGCTTTTAGAGTACCCTTATCCCTCTGGCTTTTTGTACTCTGAGCAATTTCAGCAGAGTAAAATGGCCTGAGGTTTAGCCTCTCATGACTCATGGTGCTTTACTCCCCAAAGGAAGCCACTCACTCTCCAGTGGGAATGAGACTAAAGCAGTTTCGGGATGGTTGAGTGAATTTATGCTGAGACGGCATGCCCTTTCTATCGTCCTTGTGACAAAGGGACACATTTGTCAGAATTAAGTTTCAATATCTGGCACTTTAGGTAAAATGGGTGCTGAAGAATAATCCACCTATATATCACCTAGGTATAACAAGAACTTAAATAAGAGACTCAGAGCATGGTATGGAGAAAAGAACATAGATCCTAGCGTCAAATAGATCTAAAGAAATCTAGACTACCACCATGGGCATCAGGTCTCTTTGAACCTCCATTTTCTCCTATGTAAAATATATTCATACCTAGTAATATGGACTCCTTGCCAGATGAGTATGAAGATTACATTCATTTCATTAAGTGGAGCGTATCACTTCCATTACTACAGATAATGCCACCGGGAAATATTTATTTTCTTCCTCTAAGAAAACTGTTATTATATAGTTTTTTCAGCCCCAAAACTGGTTTCTTTTCTCCTAGGGTATGATACCTATGAAATATGCCACAAAAGGTCAGAAATATTAACTAACATTGACTGAGAACTTCTTGTTCATTACTTTACTCGTTTAATTCTCACAATAAACTGAGTTCAGTTGAAGACACTGAGACTTGGGGATATTACATAACTCACCTAAATTGCTAAATCTAAACATTCATCTCAGTGTATATGAGATTCTAACTTTTCTTTGACTAACACATGGTATTTTATCTATTCGTGGCATACAAAATGACACTTAGATTCATATGTATATATTGTGTCATGACTAAATCACTGGAATCAGCACATCTTCACCTTAAACTCTTAGGATTTCTTCATAGTGACTATATTCAAAAGCCTCTTTTCTAGCATTATGGACAACTTTATTCACCCTATAGCACAATAAAACACAAGAAGTTATTCCTTCTGAGAGCAGCAAGATCTGGTGCATTTAAGATGGAATGGCTATGGATAAGAATTTATTACTTCAACCCAACAATAATACTGCACCAACTGATAACCTCCCCCCACTCGCCCTCTTCCCAGCTACTCTGCAGCTTCTGTTGACCACTATTGTACTCTCCGCTTCCATGAGGTTCCAATTTTTCTTGGGATGCTACAGATGGAACTCAGGGCCTCATGTGTATAAGTCCTCTACTATTGAGCTACAAAGTCCCAGCCAAAGACTCAAATTTTTGTCATTCTATTCATGGACAAAAATACTTTTGGAAGAAAAAGGAGTTGAACTCTCATATAAAACTCCATAGGAAAAAATAAATTTTACATGCATAAAGATTGAAAGAGGGAAAGGGAGACATGGTTCAAAAAGAATTGTACTCATTTTGATTCACGTAACTGTAACCCATCTGCATATCACCTTAATTCTGAATAACAATAAAAATAAATGTTTTAAAAAGACTGAAATGGAAAATAGCAAAATAATAAAACCTTACCAGAAAAAAATAAGTGACACAATATATAATATAGGTGTTCAGAACCAAGAATGTAAATGCAAAGACTATTCTCAGAGAGATAGGTACCTTGAATTTACAAAAAATAATTTTAATCTGTGTGTCAAAAGATACTATATACATCAAGGAAATGGAAACAAAAATGAAAACAGATACAATAGACAAAGTCCAAAGAGTGAGTAAGGTATTGAAGGATACAGATAACATGAATAATAGATTAAATTTTTCCATCTATAATAAACTATTTTTCCTTGGCCAGTACCACAGCTTGAACTCAGGCCTCAATACTAACACAGTTTGTTTGCTCATGGTTGACCTCTACCATTTGAGCAAGGCTTCAAGCTAAGCTTTTCTGCTTAACTGGGGATGGAATCTCAAGGACTTTTTTGCCTAGGCTGACTTTGGGGTGAACTCAAGAATGTGCATTTCAAACAAGCTCCCAGAAAAGGCAAATGTTGATCTCCGAAGCACACTTTTGAGAACCAAGTCTAAAGCAAGCAAATGTCCAAATAAGGAAAACTGACCCCCAAGATTCCCCCCTTAACCACAGCTGTACTCACATTTAAGCCAGCCTTCTTCCAATAATAGTTGCTATACTGGTTAATCATACATTTGGTTTTTTCCTTAAACTTTTCTTCTGAGTCCAGAGACCACCAAGGATCTAGGTTTCCATTTTTATCATATTTTCTGCCTAGCAGAAAGGAAAGGTTAAAAGACATTGGTGTTATTTATGGAAACTAAACTTTTTCATCTTCTCTTCCCTCACCTCCATAAGCTTTCAAAATACAGTCCCAACAAAGAACACCTCCTGAGAGCAGCTCCTGCATTCTCTCCAGTGTCACAGGTTAATTATAAGAAGGGGGGAAAGTGGAAGAAGATTGAAGATATTCTTTCCTCCTAAGGAACAAAGTGAATTTTAGAAATGAGATTCACCCCTTCTCCACAGGTACCAGCCTTCCCCAATCTTGAATTCCATGCTTTCACTACATCCAACCCAAAATGTTTTCTAGGTCATGAAATTGAATGCTTTCATTCAGAAACCCGTGAACTTCTAAACAATCCATAGGAATAACGGAAGAACCCAGTGAATCATCCACACCATAGGACAACAGGCCTCTAGGAACCTGTTTTCTTTGAGCTGCCAAGAACCAAGAGACACATAAACCTTCTGTTATGAATCATCCTACAGTGATCACTGTAGCTGAAAGACCCATCTGTCCTGCTTGGACAAGGAAGGTTGCTCTAAAAAGAGTGCTTGGAACAGAAATGGAAATCTCCAAGACATAACGGGAATAAATCATTAGTTTGACATGATTTCTTGGTAGAAGCTTATTCACTCATCTCCTCCACCCCCTTCAAAATAACAGTTTGTGTGCATCTATGCTATCTGCCATATTCAAGGTTACTTTTAGATTCAGGGCATAGGGGTTTGTTTGTTTGTTTTGTGCCAGTCCTGGGGCTTGAACTTGGGGCTTGAGTGCTGTCCCCGAGCTTTCTTTCTTTTTAATAGCACTTTATTGTTATTATTAAGGTGTTGTACAGAGGGGCCCTTTCATAACCCCTGAGCTTTCTTGCTCATGGTTAATGGTCTACCACTTGAATCATGGCTCTACTTCTAGCTTTGTGGTGGTTAATTGGAGATAAGAGTCTCATGGACTTTCCTGCCTGGGCTGGATTTGAACAATGATCCTCAAATTATAGCCACCTGAGGAGCTAGAATTACAGGCATGGGTCACTGATGCCTGGCCTCAGGGCATAGTTGTAATTTAATTATACAGAGAATTTATAAGAATGCCCCGTAAGCAAGAGTACTCTAAAAAAAAAAAAAAGAGGATACCAACCATATGGCTCAACCACATTAGTTTTAGGCATACAGCCAAAGGAGTGCAAATCAATATACAAGAAAGAGATATACCTACATGCCCATGTTTATTGCAACTCTGTTCACATTAGCCAAGCTGTGTAATCAGTCAAGGTACCCAACAAGTGATGTATGGGTCAATAAAGAAAATATGGTGGGCTGGGAAGGTGGCTCAGTGGTAAAGTGCTTGCCTTGCATGCATGAGGACCTGAGTTCAATTCCTCAGTACCACATAAGCAGAAAAAGTCGGAAGTGGCTCTGTGCTCAAGTGGTAGGGTGCTAGCCTTGAGCTGAGGTGCTGAGGGACAGTGCCCAGGCCCAAAGTTGAGGCCCAATGACTGTCAAAAAAAGAAAGAAAGAAAGAAAGAAAGAAAACATGGTATATATGTACAATGGAGTATATCTCAGCCAGAAAGAGAATTGAAATTATAGCATCTGCAGGAAAACTGATAGAACTGGAAATTATAACATTTTGTGAGATAAACCAAACTAAAAAGGTCAAATATCACATTTTTTCACTTATTTGTGGAGTCTATATTAAAAATTATGATTATGATAATGATAATAATAATAACACAAATGTAAAGAAGGTATACTATGGGTGATCACTGGGTCAGAGAAAGGAAAGAATATTGAGAGGTGAAGAGGACTGAAGTATGCTACATATATGTATATGTATCTACATACATGTGGATATACATATATGTGTGTGTATATAAAGATACATATATGGATATATAAATATATTATATATACATAAATATGAGATAGATAGATGATAGATAACTAATCAGATCATGAAATTAACCACTTTTTTTGCAAAAGGGGGGAGGGTTGAGCAAGGAGCTAGCGGCTCACTCCTAGCTACTTAAGAGATTGAGATCTGAAGGTTATGGTTCAAAGTCAGCCTGGGCAGGAAAGTCCATGACACTTATCACCAACTAAACACCAAAAAGCCAGAAGTGGAGCTGTAGTTCAAATGGTAGAGCATTAGCCTTGAGCACAAAAGCTTGGAGACAGTACCCAGCCATAGGACCAGCACAAAAAATGGGGTGATGGAGAGAAGATAGTGATACAATGGAGGGGGATGAACTTGTTCAAAGTATGCTGTACATACTTGTGAAATGAAACCCCTTCATATTACTAATGGATGCTAATACAAAACTAAAATTAAAAAAGAACGAGTTTACAAGGAACCTCCCCTCAGCAAAGATGTTAATTGGTACAATCCAAAGCTCTTTAATAAGGCTACATGCTACTAATACCACCTCTTGGGATAATATGGAATCTCTGTCCTCCACCCACTAACCAAATGATGTGTAGTTACTGGACATGTATTGGTTGCCAAGTGAAATTGCCATAATTACATTCTGTCCTTTAGGACAGACTCCAGAAAGCCTCCAGAAGCTTCGGGGGGGGGGGGGGGTAGGAGAGGGAGGAGAAATGTACTTAAATTACCTAGGGAAAAAAGGCCCCAAAGCAATTGATTTCCACTTATTTTTGTTTTGTAGTTGACTCTTTTCAGATCTAACATCCTAAAGCAGAAAGCCTAGCTCTGTTGAGTCAGATGACTACAAGGCAGCTACATTTTAACAGGGAAGGAGAAATGAGGGGAGAAAAAAAAAACTAAGTGATTAAGAAAGAGCTAATAGAGTATAAAAAGAACTATCCAAAAGATAAAGAGCACAAAGGGTCTCTACTCCTGCTGTAGGTATCCAGAAAAGGTCCTCTTCTAGACAATATTGTCTTGGGCCAGCTGGGTTCTTCAAACTGCTTGCAAATCATTGTGTGGATGTGAATATGATAGCAATTTGATGCCAGTTAATAAGCATCAGAGATTTTTTTGTGGCTTTCCAATAATACTCCAAAGTTTAAAAAAAGAGGATGCTAATTAGAAATGAGGTCTCACAAGGTGATTATTTGCTTAGGTTATATTTTGCTCTCTCCTTTTGCTTAAAAATTATCAGGCTATACCACATGTTCTGTATTATGCATGATTAGAAATACAATATTCTATTAAAACAGTTTTAAACAAGTATTGTAAAACAAACTCTGAATATAAACCAGTCTAAGGAAGAACAGAGATTAAGCATTATTTATTCCTTAATATTATATGAAAAAACTAGCCAGTCACATCACATACAATCATTGAAGCAAAACTCCCACCTCTACAAATAACATCCCAAGATGTTAAAGACAACAACAAACAAAGAAGAGAAGATATAATGCAATTCCTGTGAACATTTTGGCCTCTCTGGCAATCGTGATCCAAATACAAAGGTAATTTCATTGAAATTACACATTTTTCCACTGTATCTTGATAATCAAAGGAAGAGTTACTTACATATTGCAAGCTATTACAGCAAGACATATGGGAAAGTTTTCAATCAACAATCAGATTACTTTGGGTAGTCTTTAATCTGTGATAATTCCACAATGCAAATATAATAACAATTAACACACATACAGCCAGCATTATTAGAATAACATCAGCTTATAAAATGAACTACTACTTACCATTATTATCAAATCCATGTGTAAATTCATGTCCAACAATTACTCCTATAGCACCATAACTCAGAGATCTATGTCATAAATACATAATTTAGAGAAAATTATAAGCACAAATCTGAAAGCATAATCAACTTTAATTTTTCAATGAAACGCCAAAATAATATTTTCTAACAGCCATAGTAATAAAAAGCTAATACCCAGGCTGGGAATGTGGCTTAGTGGTGAACTGCTTGCCTAGCATGCATGAAGCCCTGGGTTCAATTCCTAAGTACCACATAAACAGAAAAAGCCAGAAATGGCACTGTAGCTCAAGTGGTAGAATGCTAGCCTTGAGCAAAAAAGAAGCTCAGGGATAGTGCCCAGGCCCTGAGTTCAAGCCCCAGGACTGGAAAAAATGAATACCCATAACAGTATAAAAATTATGTAAACATATACCCTTCTAATCAAAATGGGCAAAGAAAGTATAAATTTTCACATTGTCATTGTGACCTTTTTATAGATCTTAATCTTCAAACTTTTTATGTAACAGAGCTAATTCTGAAGTCCCTTCTATCCCTAAAACTTCTGTGATTCTATCTCTGCACTAGTGATATTTTAAATTTATGAACACCTAAAATAAGGCTTGAAAAGATCCTGTCAGTAAATATACTATTTATATTTTTTATCTGAGAACTTGTTGAAGATTCACTATAATCTTAGAAGTTAAATTGTTTTCCAAATGTAGTCATAAAAAAGGAATGGAACAAAGATTAAAAGGGATCACTCTGTTTTCAAAAGTAGTCACGTTCCTCTGTTTCTGTGGCAGACAAGCTGACAACTGAATAGCAAAGATGGAAAAGCCTTAATCAGATATGGAAAATATATTACATTATTTTTCCTTACTTCTTCAACAGCCTGCAGTAGATTATCTACAATGGTGGCCACCAATAACTCCACCTGTCCCTGAAGGCCACTTGTTCTCCCTTCCCATTAAGAAGTGATCTGTTTCCTTGACTTTGAATTTGGATTGACCTTGGGACTTGGAATCAATAGAATACAAAGGAAAGAGTCAGGTTTGACTTCTTAAGAAGACTTGCTGAAACCACCATATAAAGAAGTTGAACTACTCAATTGGAGGAAAGAAGACAAGAGACACAAGAAAGAGAGAAAGGCCCTGCCAGGACCCGTGCATTAGAGTCAGCATAATGAGTGAGTGAAGTCATCTTATAGCCTCCTGTCCTATGGAGCTGTCCCAGGCAACACCATTCAAAAAAGAGACAAGCTGTCTCAGCTTGTTCCTGCCCAAATTCCAAAAGCATGAGCCCATAAATGAATGGCTTCCTGGTGTGCTTTGTTACATAGTGCTAGATAACTGAAACAAAACTCACACACATTATGTAAACAAATCAGTAATGGAATTTCCATGTGTGCCTATGTGTGTGTGTGTGTGTGTGTGTGTGTGCGTGTGCGCGCGCGCGCATGCGTATTTCCTGTCTCAAGCATAATTTGCTTTCCTTTTGTGGAAATAAATACCATTTTATTATCTTTTTTTATTGTGAAAATACCATACAGAGGTGTTACAATTACATGGGCAAGATAATGGAGTACATTTCTTATCAAGCATTGTTGCCTCCTCCTTTGTTTCCCCAAACTATCCCATTTTATTATCTTAAATGCAGTTCCTTTCCCCCACATCTTTACTGACATCAATTAATTGTGCAAAGACGTTTCATTTTTAAATGGCCATATGCATGCAATGTACCTGATCACACTCAACCATCTCCTACTTCCCAAACCAATCTTAATAAGCTTCATTATTTCATTTTCACAAATGTATAGAGGGTACTTTTACCCTATTTCTCTTCTTTCTCTCTCTCCATTTTTCCACTTTCACTTTCCCTCACACCACTACTCTTTATTATTCAAGTTTTCAGTGAGTTGTATTTTGCTATCTTTGCTAGATTTCAAAGATGAACATGTAAGTAGGTACATAAAAGATTGATATATAAATCACATTTATGTGAATTTAATTATATGTAAACAAAATATAATTAAATATAAAATATACTTCATGAATATTATATACATAATTCACATAAATAAATGGTTACAATAGTAGAATTTGAGAGGATTGAGGTATGCAGAATGTTAGAAGGTGAACTGTACCAAAATACATCGCACCTGTGAATGAGCATGGCAAAACAAAACTCAACTGTGACTGACATGAAGGCCAAGCCCTTATCGACTTGGTTAATACTAAATTCTCTTACTTAGTATAAATTAGAAAGTTTATCCTTTAACTACTGGCTAATTTACTTTACCGGTGCATACAAGTGACAGGTCTGTAAGTAACTTATTTAAATCATTTAACCTGTGCATAAAGATTATAATTTATTATCCTTAGTGTGCAGATCCTTTATAAGATTTGTAATTATGCTAAAAATATTCCACACTTGGCTCCTGAAATGCCACATCGAAGTCACCCAGCAAATAGATAGGACCCAGAACTGGAAGGAACAGAAATTTTTGAAGCAACATGTTATTACAGGACATAATGATCCTTAACATGCTAATTGTTTGTCTCAACTATACCCAAGAAAGTGCTATAAGATTTAATTTTTCCCCTTGGTAGCAATTCTTTCCTTTGTTATTTCTTTCCTGCAAGGTAATTTGCATTTGAAAAAAATACTTCCTACTGTTTTTCCATCATTGAAAACCTTCATTAAAGAAGTAAGAGTAAAATTATGCATCTCAATCACACAGCTATGTAGCAGTGTGGGAAAAAACTTGTAATTTTACATAGTACTAATTTTTACAGCAGTAACTATCACTGTGCAGGTTGTAATATTTCATTTTTCCAGACTTTTCAGTCCTGAGAACGAACAACACAGTCTTCTCCAATCCCCAATCAATGCTGTTGACTGGCTGAATTTAAGAGGCAAACAATGGAAGCTTATAGAAACTGCTCTGAAATAAAGGTTTCTTAAGAGAGACTGCTCTTAAAATCTTCCTATGTGCAAAGGGAAATAAGAAAATTCAAAAACTGACTGAGGCATCCTAAATTTCAATGCTCACAATCTTTTTGACAAGAGACAATATAAAAGCAGTTTTATGTGACTACTACCTAATAATGATATTTTGTGATATTAAATCTCTACCTTTCACTTTATCAATGGACGTTATTTAAATTAACATGTCATAAGACATTAAACTCATATACCTTTTAAAATCCAAGAAGCTGGTCAGAAACTAGAAGATTTCCTATAGTGAAGATCTAGCCTTCCAAAAATCAAATGGAGAAGATGATAATTTTACTATCTCCTCAGTTTCTCTTTTGTTCATATTCTCTGGTGGGCTTAGCACATTCACAGAATTTGTTGCCAATAATAAAAACAAGTATATTGCTCTCTGGACTCAAGAATGATCTCACACTCTTAATCAAGTTTCTGCCTGAAGCAGAAAATCATAAAATTCTCTGAGTGAGAAGTGACTTTAGGGTCATTTAGTTCAACTCCTTAAAAGTGTGAACCTATCTCTAAAAACTTGTTCAAGCTAGGCATGGTGACACTCACTTATAATCCCAGTTATGGGGTAGATTGACACAGGAGGACCAAAAGTTCCACGTCAGCCTGGGGAACTTAGTGGGATCCTATCTGAAAATAAAATTTTCCAAAAAGGGTAGAGCATTGTGATACATGCCTATAATCCCACTACTTGAGAGGTTGAAGCCAAAAGATGCAGAATTCAAGGCTAGCCTGAGTTACATCGCATGACCCCTAACTCAAAATCCCAAAACCGAACGACCAAAACCCATTCAGAAGACCTTATAATATCTGCTTAGGATTCCAGTGAACAGGAGATCACCCCTTCTGAAGTAGCATATGACTTCTTTGGGTGGTTCTAAATGAAACAGCTATTCCTACAGTAAAATTTCTTTCCAGTGTCTTCAATCTTTTGGGCCGGTATCATCTCTAGTTGAATATCTGCTGATTCCCCTAACTATAGTCAATTCACCACTGGAATTTTCCTTCAAAACTTTGAAAACCAATACAAGTGTCCACCTTCACAGTGTTCTCAAGTTCTCTCAATTCTTTGGCACTCCAAACCAATCTTTCTCAAAGCATAGACGAAAGAGTAGGGACCTCTGGGTTCAACACACTTAAATAGCTTTCTTTCTTACTGAACTTTTGGGAAATGAGTATTGCGATTCTCCGAAACAGAAAAAATGGAAGGATGACTGCTGTTTCTCAGAACATACACTTTTGGGAAATGTTGTCTTAGTTCATTTACAATCCTGATTTTTTCCTCTAGAAATTATTTGGCTTGTTCCTGTCTTCATAATTAGACCGAACATTCAGGTTAGAGCTAAGTTACCCAGTGAGAAGAAATGGTATCCACTCTTTTGGTTCTGGCGGCTGTCCATCAGTCACTACATAATAGATGGATGTGTGAAAAGCCAGTTCACTAGCACTTCCAGAATCTCTATATTTCCAATGCAAAATACCCAAATGACACTTAAGAGCTATACATTGGGTGGATATCTCAGTAGAGGATGAGTGAGGACATAGAATTCTTCAGGGAAAAAATACAAAACTTTCTTCCATTCATGTTTTATCTTTGACTCACCTACAATAACATTAATTTCTAAGTTTCTATGGTTCTTTACTTTGATGGCAGAAAATCAGACTCATGGACCCAATAAACAAATGATTGGCTCAAGAACATCCAAATTTAACCCAACTATTTCCAAGGATCCACCTACATAACCACAATAATAGAAATGCAGTTCAACTGTTAATGATGAGCAGAACCAAGTCTCATTCAGTTTGAAGCAATCTTAGAGAATATCTTTTGTGTGTGTGTGTGTGAAAATACTGAACAGAAGGGTTACAATTACATGGGCAAGATAATGAGTACATTTCTTTTTCTTTTTTTTGGGGGGGGGGGTCCGGTCATGGGGCCTGAACTTTGGGCCTGGGCGCTGTCCTTCAGCTCTTCAGCTCAAGGCTAGCGCTCTACCACTTGAGCCACAGCGCCACTTCCGGCTTTTTTCATTTTTGCTTTATGTGGTGCTGAGGAATTGAACCCAGGGCCTCAGGCATGCAAGGCAAGCACTTTACCACTGAGCCATTTCCCAGCCCATGAGTACATTTCTTATCAAGCATTGTAGCTTCCTCCTTAGTTTCCCCTTCCCATCCCATTCCCCCCCCCCCACCCCCCAACCCTCCCCCCCCAAAAGTTGTAAAGTTCGTTTTCGACATGACTTGTACATCTCATTGTTGCAATGGGTCCACCTGTATCCCTATTTAAACGATTTGTTTTTTTCCCTTCCCCTCCACAAATTATACCAATATCAAATACAGTGAAAGCAGGGGTTATACCGTGGGGGAGGGACATACAAGGCAACAAAGAAATCATCTTATAAATGCGTTAGAAACAATCGCATAAAAGAAAAAAACCATTTGAATACATATCTTAGGGTTCATTTCCCTAACATCACATTATCTGACCTTTTCTGCTTGACTCAGTCATATACTAGTTATTGCAAATAAGGGAAACCATGGGACCTATGTTTCTTTGGGCCTGGCTTACTTCACTTAATATAATTTTTTCCAAGTCTTTCCAGCTAAGTAAGATATGGAACCAACCCAGATGCCCCTCAGTAGATGAATGGATCAAGAAAATGTGGTATATATACACAATGGAATTCTATGCCTCCATCAGAAAGAATGACATTGCCCCATTTGTTAAAGAGAATCTTATACATTTAGTTTTATCAAAAAAAAAAACAAAAAAACATTTAGGGCTGGGAAGGTGGCTCAGTGATAGAGTGCTTGCCTTCCATGCATGAGGCCCTGGGTTCAATTCCTCAGCACCACATAAGCAAAAAGAAAAAAGCCAGAAGTGGTGCTGTGGCTCAAGTGGTAGAGCGCTAGCCTTGAGCTGAAGAGCTGAGGGACAGCGCCCAGGCCCAGAGTTCAGGCCCCACGACCAGACCCCCCCCAAAAAAAGACATATAATATATACAAAATATAGAATATGCATATATTCTAAAATAGTACTTCCTTGGTGTGGACTTTATTAATGGTGCCATGTCCATTCACCATCCATCATGTCTCAGCATACTAATCTAACTGCTTCCAAATGGCAGATTACTCTCTCTAGCTATAAGGAATCTAATGCCCTAGGTTAGGTACTGCTAGTAAGTTAACACCCATCAATCAAGAAAGTAGAAGCCCTCAATTAATTATGGAGCATGAGCAGTAGGACAAATAGCCCAGTTCTCAATGGCATGTTATCTAGTTCCCAGACCAAACTGAGTACCAGTTTCCTATGCTGATGATTGGGAGCTAGAATAATGGCTGCCAAAAGATGTCCTCAATACTAATTCCTAGAACATGTGAAAATGTTGTTACCTGACAAAGGGGAATTAAGATTACAAATGGAATTAAGGTTGCTAATAAGTGGACCTTACAACAGAGAGATTATCCTGGATTACTGGGGAGGACACAATATGACCGTGACAGAAATATCACAGTGAAACACTTAGGTACAATTACTTTACACTCATAAAAATTTAAAAAAAACATTTAGAAATTTTAAAACTGAGCTGTGAATTATCCATTCTAACTTGGTTGTATACTTTTATTTTATTTTTATTTTTGCCAGTCCTGGGGCTTGAACTCAGGGCCTGGGCACTGTCCCTGAATTTCTTTTGCCCAAGGCTAGCACTCTTGATTTTTAAAAGACGGTATGTGTACTTTCTGCTAGAACAGTGGAATTATTAAAAACAAATTTTAAATAAAATGTTCAAGTAAGAGAGAGGTGAGATTCTAAAAGAGATTTGGTCATGAGGCTTTAAAGATAAAGAAGGCCAAGAGCCAAGGAATGTGGGACCCATCTAAAAGCTCTGAAATAAAGACATCAATTTTTCCTAAAGCTTCCAAAAAAGAAATGTAGTCCAGACAACACCTTGATATTAGCCAAGTGACACTTAGGTCGGACTACACAGCTGTAAGCTAAGAAATTGATGTTGTTTTAAGCCACTGTGCTGGATATGAATCATTGGGGCAGCCATAGAAGACTCATAGGACACAATTTATTGGCTTCCTTCCCTCCCCACCCCCCTTCCCCACTCCTCTAGCAGTATTGCCTGGTACCACCTTCCAAATGAACTACTTACACTCAATTCTCTTCACAGAAGGAAGCTTCTGTGGAAGCCCAAGTCAAATCACTACCACAAATAATTAGTATACCCTTGGCAGATGAGCAGAATAGCTCAAGAGCTATGTACATATGACCATATAAGATGATGCTAAACAAAATGAACTCCAAGACATGGTCACAAGAGGTTTTTCTTTGTTGTTGTTGTTCTCAATGTACTATGTGATTTCTTTTTTCTTTTGTGTTCTTTTTTTCCCCCTACAGTTTATCCCCTGTTGTCACTGTATTCAATTTTGGTGCCCTGGGTATTGTATATACGTTTATCTGAACCAGGGAAGGGAAGGATGACAACAAAATGGTGAGACAAAGGACAAAGGGGAACCAATGCAACAGCAACACTTACTCGACAATATTTTGGAAATGATCTGTACAACTTGGAAGGGGATGGGGAGTAGGGAAAGAGGGAGAAAAATGAGGGAGGGAGTAACAAGTTCGACAAATGTACTCACTACCTTACTTATGTAACTGTAACCCCTCTGTACAGCACCTTGACAAATTTTTTTAAACTACCACATATTTCTTTGATTTATACATGTATGCAATCCCATGTCTATTTAATCTATATTAACATATGTAAGTTGTCATATATTCAAACCAAAACACAAGAGACTCAACTTTTAAACCCAGGCGGCGGTAGCTCATGCCTGTAATCCTAGCTACTCAGGAGGCTAAGATCTGAGGATCTCAGTTCAAAGCCAGCCAGGGCAGGAAAATCCATGAGACTCTTATCTCTAATTAACCACCAGAAGACCAGAAGTGGCACTGTGACTCAAATGGTAGAGTGCTCGTCTTGAGCTGAAGAGCTGAGGGACAGTGCCCAGGCCGACAAGCCTCACAACCGACAAAAAAAAAAAAAGAGAGGCTGGGAAGGTGGCTCAGTGGTAGAGCGCTTGCCTTGCATGCATGAGGACCTGGGTTCGATTCCTCAGCACCACATAAGCAAAAAGAAAAAAAAAGAGAGAGACTCAACTTCTAAAATCAGGACTAAATTTTCCATGCATTAAAACACCAGAGCCACACAAAAGCATATGAGAAAGTGGTGATATAATTGACAATTAATATTTTGAGAATCCCCACTGTATGTAGAAATAATGAATTATGTAAGTTTACAATCTGTTATTAATGGTCTTTAAATATATGGTTCTTAAGTGCAAACACTGTCAATTTTGACCTATTCTATAACTATGCAGATTGTATTTCTAGAGGCAACTTTGATCATCTTAATTGCTTAAAAACTTAAGTATTTTCTCTTGTCTATTAGTACCCAAACTCCTCATCTGACATTCAGAGCCCTTGAATATCCGACCTAAAGCTTCTTTTGCAGATTCCTTTTCCTCTACTTCCCTTCATATGACACTTTGGTCAGCCAGATTAGACTTTTGTCTCTATGATCTGTTTTTCTTCATGTTCTCATGTTGTTTCTTTCCCTGGAAAGGTTTTAGACCATCGCCTACTCAAATCCTAACAGCTTTCAACTGAATGAAAACCACCAGCTAAGTGTTGGTGGCTCACACCTGTAATCCTAGCTACTCAGGAGGCTGAGCTCTGAGGATCACCGTTCAAAGCTAGCGCATGAAGGAAAGTTAGTGATACTCTCATTTCCAATAAACCACCAAAAACTATAGAAAGAAAAGCCTGAAGTGGAGCTGTGGCCCAAAGGGTAGAATAGTAACCTTGAGCAAAAAAGAAAGAAAGAAAAGGAAAGAAACAAAACTCAGGTCCTATGTTCAAGACCCAGGACTGGCACAAAAAAAAGGAGAAGAAAAGCACAAATATATAAGCTGACTTTTCTATCTAGCTGTTCACTCTTGCAATAAGGGTCAGAAAACAAAGACCTAATAGAAAACAAAAAGACAAAAGATAGAAAGAGTAGAGCCAACCCATGTCCTCTTTCTGCTGAACAACCATTAGCTTTGATTCTTTGGCTGTGTATTATGTCCTTTGCCAAAGCAACATGATCTTCCTTGCTAATTTGTCAATAACTGATTTTCTTGCTAATTTACTCACCGAGGATATTCGGTTCCCCAAAAGAAAGGCTTCTGGAGCTCTCCTGCTGGAAATCCTTGGAGAAAGACAAACAAACAAAAAAATGTTAAATAGGACTATAGAGAGAGTAATTCAATGATGAGTTCCAGGTTTGAGTGACTGCCTGAAGCTCCCAATTACTGATCTGAAAGGCACTTCTTATAGATCCAGCTCCCTCTAGGAGATCAAAATATCTAACTCAATTTGAAATAAGTGCATGGAATCATTCCAAAGACATAGCTTGCACTATTGGCACTGTCCAACCCATTGTGAACTAGGCTCCTTCCTATATAGAAAGTACATATGCTTCAGGCTGGTCAGCAGTTTCTTCTGATACAGAAAGGTCTACTCCCTGGGCATACCACCAGTGCAGCCACACAAGCCTGGCACACAGAAGGGTATCCCACCTGGTTTAATACACGAGTTTCAGTGTCTTGAAATCCACACCTCTTGCCGCTACTAGGGCTTAACTCAGACCCTGGATGCTGTGCCTTAGTGTTTTGTTTTGTTTTGTTTTGCTCAAGCCTGGTACTTTTACCACTTGAGCCATAACTCCACTTCCAGCTTTTTAAAAATTGTTTAATTGGAGATAAGAGTCTCATGGACTTTTCTGCCCAGGCTGCCTTCAAACCTCAATCCTCAGATCTCAGCCTCCTGAGTAGCTAGGATGACAGGTGTGAGCTACCGGCACCCAGCTAGGGTCTTGAAATTCTGAAAATACACAGTGGGGTTTTTTTTAATGGACTGCTGTGTTAAGAAGTGAAATAAGAAAAACAAAAGAAGTGAAATAAGGGGTGGGGAGGGGTTGGGAGAGATGGAGGAGAATGATGATCTATAAGCACTGTACTAAAACACTCACATGTTGAAACTCCTTTGTACAACTACTTAAGGATAATTTTGAAAAAGAAAAAGCAATGAAGTAAAAGCTGGGGCTGCAGCTTAATGGTAAAGCAGTTCCATAGCATGCACATAGCCACAGGTGCATCTCTGGCAAGGAGGAGGGGGTGAAGGAGAAGAGAAGGTAAAGGAGGAGGAGGAAAGGGAAGAGGGAAGAAGGAGAGGAGGGCAGCTAAATTCATTCTAGGTACAAGCTACAAAATCTGTGGTCATTTCCATGATTCTGTATACAAGTTCAATTCTCTTGTATTTGCACTTAAAACGGTCATTGCACAATATAAAGATGGATGGTAAAACTCGTTCCAATAATAATGCATTTTAGTTTTTCTTCTAACAGCAGTAAATAGCAAACAAGAACGCTGTGACAAGTCCAGAGAGAGAGACAGAGAGAGAGAGAGAGACAGACAGAAAGAGAGAAAGAGAGAGAGAGAGACAGAGAGAGACAGAGAGAGACAGAGAGAGAGAGAGAGCATGGAAGACAAAGTAAAGTTTTGTATTTAAGCACCTTCATTGGCATTGCTTTCAGCTTTCTGCATAAAGGGCCTTGTATTTTCTTTTTCACTGAGCCCTATAAATTATATAGCTGGCTCTGGGGGTAAATGAGTGCAGGAAATGCTCAGCTTTGCCCTTGCAACTCCCCAGTAAATTTTGCACCATGGGTTGATCCTAGGAATTATAAAATATTGCAGCTGGGAAGTCAAAGCATAGTAATGAGAGAGAGAGAAAGAGAGAGAGAAAGAGAGAGAGAGAGAGAGAGAGAGAGACAGAGACAGAGAGAGAGAGACAGAGAGAGAGAGAGAGAGAGACAGAGAGTTCTGCAATGTCCTCGCCCACCTTGGGGCAGCTGTTCTAGGCCCCATGAGATGAAAGCTGTTTTATGAATTAAAATATTCCTCCCTCCAACTTTCTTTCTTCCCTCCATGGCAGGACACCATTACCAGGGGAAATGAGGGCAGAAAAGCACGTCTTTAATTTAGAAATGAAACATTCACTGTGTAAAACTCTTATATTCTTTATATGTTATTAATAAAAGCATAGCTTAAGATTTCAAAGTACAAAAACTTAATAGCAAAACAGAGACAGATCCAGGTAGTTGTTATTTCTTCCTGCTGCTTTTAAACAAAAGAAAATATATTGAATATGACTGAATTGGAAAGGGAAACTTTACATTAATCTTCATAATTTCTACATTTCCATAAATATCTATGGCATTTTTTGCATCAGTAGTCCATCTTCCTTTTTTGGCCAGTCATGGGGCTTGAACTCGGAGCCTGGGCTGGTTTCTGTCCCTGAGCTGCTTCTGCTCAAGACTAGAGCTCTACCACTTGAGCCACAGCTCAACTTCTGGTTTTTGAGTGGTTAATTGGAGGTAAGAGTCTCATGGAGACTTTTCTGCCTGGGCTGGCTTTGATTCAGGATCATCAGATCTCACCCTCCTGAGTAGCTAGGAATTCAGAGCCACTGGCTCCCAGCTCATTCTCCCTTTTTTGCCAGTCCTGAGGCTTGAACTCAGGGCCTGAGCACTGTCCCTGAGCTTCTTCTGCTCAAGGCTAGCACTCTACCACTTGAGCCACAGAACCACTTCTGGCTTTTTCTGTGTATGTGGTACTGAAGAATGGAACCCAGGGCTTCATGCATGCTAGGCAAGCACTCTACCACTGAGCCACATTCCCAGCCCATCATCCTCCTTTTTTTGATGATCGCTTTTAGCACATCATTCTGATATGTGTGTATTTGTTAAGAGATCAGTGCAATTGGACAGAAGAATGGTGAGCAAACACAATCATTGCCTTCAATGTACACTGTGTACATACTGCAATATGTAACTTGTGGGTAGGAAGGATAAGGAGAAAATGTGGAGGAACAATGGAAGGGGTTCCATTGGCCAACCAGTATTACAGTCATAACCTGACATGGAATTGTAAACCCTTTGTACAACTACTTAATAACAACAATTTAAAATGCCATAAAATGAGATAAGTGAAGATTGCAATGTTTATATGAAAATTCAGTTTCACCCAATAAATCACCCCAAAGCAATGATATTTCCTAATAAGAGTTATTATAAACCAGTGTTAATTATTAAATCATTAGGGCTTCCCTGCTTGGTAATGTGCCCATCTGGAAGACATTACATCCATTGCCAATCTCTCTACAGGCAAACACTGACACCTGCATTCGCCTCCATTTCTGTTTCTTTTGCTTTTTGGGGGGCCCCAGACTCCAGTGCAACAGACATCACCTCACTCTGAACAGCTGTATCTTCTCAGCTTGGCAAGGCCAGGGAACCCAGGCCTGATAAACAGTGGAATCTGATGCCCCTCGGCATGTTTGGCTGAGGAGAATAGATTAACAGTGTAAGCTGCATTTTTGGAGACGTCAACTAGCCAGAGTGATAGATGGAATCCCAACGGGATCAACTCTGAATCTTATCTCATAAAGCGGATGAATTGGATTAGCAAAGGTGGAGTGAAACATGACTAAGTGAAAAGGGAATTCTTTTCCTCTTCCTCTTTTAATAGGCTTTCCTTTCATTTTCTCACCTTTCTGTTTTATTGCATTTTTTCCCTTGAGAGTTACCTATCACCCTTACACTTTGCAATCTTTGCTTTTAAGTCATCCTATTTGTGAAATGTAACCATTGGCGCGGGAAGAAAAAAAATTAATAAATTTGATAATCAGCAACATTGGCCTGATGTCCAAAGTACTTTGGTAGGAACGGAAATTGTTGTAAACATTTGGGGGGTTATTATAAACGTCTCTGAATGCTTGAAATATCAAGTAAAAATGAGTGGCTGCAAAGAAACATAGGTCCCATGGTTTCCCTTATTTGCCATAACTAGTATATGTCTTGGACAAGCAGGAAAGGTCAAAAGCTATGTACATATATGACCAGATAAGATAATGCAAGGCGAAATGAACCCCAAGATAGGGACATAAGTGTTTTTTTCTTTCTTGCTATTGTTTCTAACGTATTTATAATGTACCATGTGATTTTTTTTGTTTCTTTGTATGTTCCTCCCCCACGATGTACCCCTGTTTTCACTGTGTTTGATGTGGGTGTCCTGCATCTTGTATATACACTTCTCTAATTTGGGGAGGGGAAGGGAAAAAACAAAATGCTTAAATAGGGATACAGGTTGACTCATTGTAACAATGAGGGGTACAAGACACTATGTTGAAAAACGAACTTTACAATTTAGCTGGGGTTTGGGGGAGTGTAGTTGTAGAGGTGGAAGGGAAGGGATGATAGGGGAAAAACAAAGGAGGAAGTAACAATGCTTGATAGGAAATGTACTCATGACCTTGCTCATGTAACTGGAACCCCTCTGTACAGTATTTTTACAATAAAAACATATTTTTACAAAAAGCTGAAAAAATGAGTGGCTGTGTGATATTGTAGCAAAGCTCTTGAGAGATATTAAGTGCAGAGATCTAAGTGGAGAGACTGCATCTGGTGCAGTAAGTGGGGTCCATTTTGTGTAATATGTATATGAACATATACATGTACAGATAAACATGTACATGTACAGGTATGCGTGTATACATGTACATGCACACATAAATATATGTACAGAGATGTGCCTACTTGTACAATCATGCTATGTTTATGCATATACACGTACTCCACTATAGCTCAATGTGTTTTGTTATAGGAAAGAATTTTTTGCCAACATAATAAATAAACTGGGAAAATGCGGGGGCCTAATTCCAATTTGACATTTGCGTATACACAGTTCTAGCCCTAAAAAAGCAGAAAGTGCACCGAGCTGAAATGAGCCACACAGGAATATTTAAAATATTCTAGGAACCCATCCTAACTTGAACGATTGCCTCAGCCTACCGTGTGAGTGACAAGCCACATCCACCACATCTGGGGTTGAAACTTTTCCTCCCAATTTCAGATGACCCTCCATCCATCACTATACAATAATACATAAGGGGCAGCCCCGCCAGCTTCCATAAACAAGTATCAAGGGGAATTGCCATATTCCTATAGCATTTGTATTTACCTACTTTACATATATAAAACTATGTTGTTTTAATTGGCTCCCAGCTTTTGTTTACCATGTGTAATCGACATGTTTTTCATTGTTGTGGCCCAGTCCCATTTTTCTCAGGAACACTATGGCTTTTGTT